TACAACAGTTATAAGATAAAACTACAACAGACTTCTTTTAAAACTCCACATTATTCTCACAACATTTTCTGTTTTCTTATAAAAATGTTTTATTAAGGTTCGCTATGATTTTTATTGCTAACTACTATAAATCATAAACATGAGTAAATAAATACAATAGTCGTCTCTCAAATCACAATGTTCTCAGGACTATTTCTACACTCATTAAAACAAATTTAAGAATAAAAAATGCTTTGGTTAACCGTAGATGTCGTTCGTAATTCGTCCTTCTTTAATCAACAATATAAATCTTTTCCAATCCGTTAAAATCCAATCCGAATTATTTTTTTTCGGGAAATTACATCGTTCCCTATATATATACTGCAACGAATCGTACACAAGGGCTTTACTAATTACAAAACGGATCGGTTTCTTTAGAAATTTGCGGCCACATTTAATCTGCGTCGTTTGATCTGAAAACTTGTCGCGATTACCTGAAAGGTTTCCATTTCAGGCTGAAATTGAAACTTTATAAGTGAAATCTTCTGAGCGTTATTTACTTTGGCAATCAATTAGTGAATGTTGCAACGACGGTTGCAGCAATTAAAAAAAACAAACGTAAGTGGTTTTTTTTTGGATGTGCACTGGAGTTTTCTATAATACAGGTAGGTACTTGATATACGAAAATAGGATCAGTAGCGTCCATATACTTCTATAAAGGGGAAATATGTGTAATTTCTTAAACGAAACGCAGATAGGTATTTAATTATTTAATATGATTTAGTATGATGATTTTTAATTTTAGATAATTGGTACGAAAAATTTTCACTTAGTAGTTTTAAAAATTTTGATCTACAACAAACTGTGATTTTTGTATTAAAACACTTTTCAGATGATTGATCAAAAACTATACTTAACTTTTATAGTTCTTAACATGATATCACAGTTAAGACGTCAATTTACAAATCTTCTCTAATTTCATAATTGTCTAAATTTGAGATATACAATGTGAAGAAAATTCTAAAAATGTCAAATTTTCTTGGAATAGGATTTTTAGAAATTTACAAAAATTGCAGTCTGCAACAATATAGTCGTGCAATCGCCTAAAGCCGACTCTGTAGTTTATTTTCCTTTACTGGTGCCAATACGTCTATGTTCCCACTTCCGCTGCCCGCAAGGCTCATGATCGAAACATTACTGGAATGCCGATTCGTAATGAAGCACTTCACGAACGCTTCAAAATTCTTCTAGCAGAACTGGTTTTTTTATTATATTTTAATATAAATACCGCGATTTTGTCAATAGAAGCTGAAATCCCAAAACTTCTTTGGGAATGCTCTTGTAATTAAAAATGCAATCCTTCTTAACTTACACATATTTCCTGTTCATCTAGCAGAATTAGATATAATTGCTGCGTTTGAGAATCCACATCGGATGCATCTGAGATGTAAAAAATATTTGATCACGTGATTCAGTATACGTAAATGTAATGGGACAGATGTGTCCGATGTGGATAAAAAAACGCTCGAGATGTAAAAAATGCATCCGATGTGGATTCTCAAACGCGGCAAATATATGTAGCAACAGACTTCCCGGTAGACAATCCAATAACCATCATATCACACTACAACCGCCCAGGTCAAATCATCTTCACATCTCTGATAGAATATCTATCATTACTCCCCCGCGCCATTTTGCGTGGAGACCTGAACTCCAGACATGCTATGTTCGGAGATCACGCCTCCAATCAGAACGGTATCCGCCTATCTAATCTGTTCTTAGACTTCCCCATATTCAGAGCCTTAAACCGACTTTCGACCTTTGTATCCCACCAAGAATCATCTATCATTGACCACATCCTCTTGACAGATTCCTATACAGGACTGGTTGCTGATAGATGCTTCATTGGAGAGACAATCACCATTGATCAACTTCCTTTGATGTTACACACATCAAAACTAAAAATAACGGCCCTAACGCCCTGATCAGGTTCCAAACCAACTTACACAAACAACAACTATGGATCAATACCACTTCTAATTTGGATCATACAGACAGCTTCAAGTTTTAGGACAAATTCCGACTCGTCATGGATCAGAAATACAAAACACCTCCAAATCGACGGAGAAATCCACACAACCCCTGACAAAAAAGTCCTAACCCACCTTGAAACCACCTTCAGAATTCCTGAAAACTCCCACTTGGACGAACAATTCAAACACGAGACCGAACAATACGTCCTTCAGACACTCGCCGCCCCAGTCCCACATTTGGATGTCAAAAAACCCCCTCACTTCCCCATTCACGCTCCAAGACATCCACTATGCCTGCCAAGCAGGCAAAAACAGGGCCTCAGGGCCTGATTCCATTCACAAAAGAACGCTGAAGCATCTTCGTGAAACCTTCTTTCCCATCCTCACCCTTCTCCTAAACTCCTGTCTCTTTCTCTCCTATTTTCCACTTGCCTGGAAATCCGCCAATACCATTTTGATCCCCAAACCAGGCAAAAACCCCAAATCCATAAATTCATACAGACCGATCTCTTTCATATCAGGTCTAGGGAAATTTCTTGAGGAAGGAAATAATTCCACTTCCTTAAATAATTCCATGTACTTCCACAGGAATTCCATGTACTTTCATTGAAATTCAACATACTTCCACAGAAATTCCACGTACTTATACGGAATTCCACTGAATATAATTATTGAATTCCAGGTCATTTTATTAATGTGTCACCGAATTCCACTATTAGGTACAGTGGAAACTCAAGTAAAACGATAGAGATAGACCCTATACAGGGTGAACCACCAGTAAGTGGATCGATCGATATCTCAGAAAATTTAGAAAAAATTTGGAAATCTAGGCAGATTTTATGCATCATGTCCTATACCTGAGTCTAAGCGTTTTTGACATATTTAAGTTTTTATGTTAAAAATGAGGTTTGCAAGTTTTGACGCTTTTAGGTATAGGACATAACACATAAAATCTGCCTAGAATTTTGAGAAAAATCCAAAAATGTCATAACATAACATATAGGTGTAATATTTTAGCTGAATTGACCTTAAGACGTCTAGGAAGTTTCCAAATTTTCAAATTGTTCCTATATCCAGTTTAAGATACCAATCTATGCAGTTACTAGTGGTCCATCTCGTATATATATATATATATATATATATATATATATATATATATATATATATTCGAATTTACAAAAGTGTAAAAAAATAGTACACCCTATTTGGATATTCTTGGTATGACCCTTTGAATGAAATAAAGGTATAAAACTAGAATGGCCTTTACATTATTTCGGTGTTTTATGTTTAAAGCTGTAAATTTGAATGATTTTGCATCTTTCTTACATAGTCATCTTGTTGTTTCATGAAAAGAATTTGCGCATGTTCTGACTCTGGAAACATTTACATTCTAGTTTAGCATTTGTCAGTTTAAAATAGTATGCTCTGTAGTGCCTTGTGGAGGGGGACAAAATATCTTCACCCTGGCGGCATTTACCATCGGGGCGGTAAAGCCCTCAAATGGCCACTTCCAAAAATAGGGCACCTGGAGACACCTCTCGGCGACGTTATCAACCTGCAGGACTTTGACCTGAGAGGTTTGCTATCCTTAGATACCACCTAGCGACAAACAGCAGAACTTTTGAGTTGGACAGATGACTATCTCTAGACACCTCCCAGCGACAACCAGCAAATCGTTGACGAGTTGATGACCTGCAGGATTTAATGAGCTGGAAAGATGGCTCAGCTCTCAGAGACAACCAGCAGGTTTTTGATATGTTGAGAGGCAGGCGCTATATGCCCTTGTAGGATGCACAATGAACCCAATGAGACATAAGTGCTATGGATCAACCCGCTTGACAGATACAGAGTTTGCTCTGTAAATATCATGTCCTAGTTACAAATAAATAAAGTATGTACTCAATGTATTCTATATTAGCGATAATTCCTAGATTTTTTATTTTTTTGGGAGTTATCATGATACTACATATATTGATGAACAATTACTTTAAAGTCAGATGTTTTGAATTACTTTATATGTACAGAGTGTAATGATAATCTATATAGGGCAGTCAAATTATGAAAAAAATAAAACCGACAAAAAATAAAGCATACTATATGTAAGAAAAAACAGTGAAACAGAATTAAATATGTATCACAATATTTCAAAATTTAACTAAAAATCATTCTGTATTTCTTTTAAATGCTTTATATATTTTTTCTATTTTCACTGGATTTCCATGGACTTCCAAATGCTTGCACTGAAATTCCACGGACTTTCACATACTTTCATTGGACTTCCACATACTTCCACAGGAATTCCATCAATTTGTACACCATAATTCCAAGGTGGTTTGCCCCTCGATTTACATCTCCTAAATATGCATACACATGTTCATAAAATATATTTTTTGTTTTTCGATGATACCCTGTATTTCCTTTGTTTTTTAATATTATATACATTGTAGAAAAAAGCATGTTTCTGACTTAGATGGAAAGTCTTTTTCTGGCACTCGGTTATTTGGTCAAACTCCACTTTTCGTTTTTCTGCCAAAGGCAGTGGCGTACTGGAAAATAAAACTTTCATTATGTAGTATGGATATATTAAATGTTTCCATTGGTTTTTTTATAAGTTATTTTACTCAGGTATTATTAGATCTTAATGCAATGTATATAACACTTTAGCCGAGCATAACATTAATTAAGATTAATTTAAATACGTAATTTTTTTATGAATTTTATAGATCTATAATTTTTTCACACAAACCCATTCATTACTATAAAATCTTTTACGTAATCATATATAAGTACTTATTCGATACACCCTATATAAACATTACATAATTATCGCATTGAAAATTCGTCTACTATATGCACAATCCTGAACAAATTCAATTCGGAACAAAAGCATTTTTTCCGAGTGACAATAGATGATGGACAATACGTTATTGTCAATTACACAAAGAGATTTAAATCAGTGTTTACATAGCGTTAAACGCATGAGGCAGTATCCCTTCAATCAATTTGTACAGGTCGAAGTTGCTGGTCGCTGCATTTCCATCATCAACCATGCCTCAAAGTGAGCACGTTAAGCGGCCGATGAACGCCTTCATGGTGTGGTCCAGGATGCGTAGGAAGAAAATTTCACAGGTACGTTTAACTTTTTTACTGCACCGGTCTATTCAAGAGCATAGCCGAATCTTAAAGACGACGTAATAGCTTTAACAGAAAAAAAAAATTCACTTTGATTCAAAGATTTTATGTTTTTTTTCCGTACAATTGTTACGACTTCGCGGGTAAAATATTTGAAATTATCACATTTCCTAAATCTTCATTCTCAGATGTAGTGTCACTAACGCTTCAAAGTTCGTAATCCATCTTAAATAAGTAATTAAATTGTTGGATGTCAGTAAAACTGAAATGTTTGACAGTTTAATGATCTCATACATTATTAAGAATCCACTGATTTGGCGCACTTAATTCAACTAGAACTATTCTTGAATAGTAGTTTGTACAGTAAGGGTGGATGTCGCACAAAGACGAAGTTTGAGCACGACACCGTAGGCAGAGTGCTAACTTGTCTGAGTTAAATAAAACGATAAAATTACTAATTTAAAAATAATCTATGACTTTTCTAATTTTGATAATAAAATTACCGAAGCAAAAAATTCAATTCAATTCGTCTGCAATCCTAGAATTGAACCCGGGACCTCTATATGAAAGCAAAATGACCTAGTGACTGCTCCATTGCCACAGATAACATTTTAGTTTTATTACTCGTAATTGAAGTGAGTTCATATAGTTTTATTAAAATTTATGGTTAATTTATGAATATAGATTTAATTTCAATAAACTAAAAAATATACTGAAAATTAATTTTGGCAGAATTGTCACATTTTTAAAATTTAAAAAAATTTTACTAGTCGGCTGACCAAAATAAGAACTGTGATTGGTGAATTAAATTTTTTGGCGTGTTCTTACTAGGTAGTTTGGATATGAAATATATTCGTTCAGTTAAACGCAATGACATACTTTTTGGTTTTGTAGCCTGTGAGTAGAAAAACTAATGTCCATGTAGGTCTAGAAAACATTTTTTTTTATTATTAACTATGGGATTTCCTGTTTATTATGAATAACTTTTTCTTATTACCAGATATCTTTAACTGTTCAAAGTAGTATTTTCAGAGATTTATAAAGAATAGCACAACCTATACGGATCATATCTATATTCTGTCTAAATTTTGAGCATATTTAATTTCAATTTTGAGTAAATTTTAGTGCACTATTCGCGTTTTTTTTTAATTAAAACTTATGCTAACTCACGCTCAAGTTATTTATCGTGCGATTTTATTCAAATTAACGCCATAAATTTTTTTTTATGTTTTTTTTTTGTGAAAATAATGTGTTTAGTAAACAATTAATACGGTATTTTTCATTTATTGTGTTTTTTAAATATCAAGATATTACAAATAAAGGGTAAGGCAGAATAACAAACCATTTTGGAAAGTGTAATTGCACTTTATGTTATGTGCATACAACTTATTTTGCCATATTAATTTCGACTGTAATTTTGTAAATAGCAAATAGTGATTTTCAAATTTTATTTTTGACAACTAAATTCACTTGGTAAATAGTATATTACACACCGAGGTGGGAAGAGTTTCATTCCTGTCGTGAGATTAGTTAGATCATCGAGACGCGAAGCGTCGAGGTTAGCTATGATCTCGAGACAGGAATGAAACTTCCTACCGAGGTTTGTATACTATTTTATTTACAACCATCATATTTCGATCAAAGTTAATAAATCTCTGTTTTGTTCTGAACATACCTAAAATATTACATTTAACGACAAATTACCAAGCGCGCGGTTTTCTCAGAATAATTAAGTAGGTAAATATATTGTTACTGTCACCAATATAAATAAATGTCAGATAAAGCCGGATATTAAATTCGCGAATAATGAATATCAATAAGTAGTTTGTTATATTTTAGATCATTGTTGTTTTTTATTGTTTGCCATTAAATAGGTATTATAAAATTTGTAAAAAAAATGTGTTATTTCTTTTAAATATAAAAAATATTCATCTAGAATAGATGAAATGAGGGCGGGAAGTAGAGGTGTGTAATGTGACACTTCCCAACCTTCAATGACGTTAGTAATGACAACATTACATATATGGTTGTAAATAAATAAACTATATTTGTGATCGTTTAATGTGCAAAAGTACATTTTGTAAAAAAGACAGATATCATTTTTTGCCATAACACCACTGAATTATTGACGTAGATTTATTGAACCCTGCATTATATATTTATAAAAATGATCTAGTATTTAACAAAAAAAAATTGATTAGAAGTTATGTTCTAATTATAACAATCCATGAAAATACACCTTGGTGCAGTAACTGATATTCCTAATTTTGTGAACACTGCACAATTCATTTTGCAAAGTGCCAGTATGCATAAACTAATTATAAAGGGTGTCCGCTAATTAATGATACACAGCAAAACTGAAGATTTTTTGAGTAAAAATATTTCGATTTAACCAAACTTCAGTCCAAAAGTTGATAATAACCGTAATACAGGGTGTTGAAAATTTAAAAACTGGTATTGACTACAATTTTTTTATTTCTCAGTATAATTTTACTAAATTCTGTAAACATTTTTAGTATTGTAAGATAACACATACCAGCAAAACAGTTAAATAAACAGTACCAGTGGAGTACGGCATGGATAAGTAACACCTTCATCTTCTCTACATTTTACGCCACTGTCCAAAAACTATTCTTTTACATTTTTTTATTTTTTTTTTTAATAATTCCTGTACTCTTGTTGGGAAATAATAAAGTTATTGATTTTCGAGATATTCATTCACAAAGGCGGATATTCTTCATTCTAATTTATTTTTAATTTTGTAATTCTGGATTTTTTTATAAAATTAAACGTTTTTGGTGCCATAAGATACAGCTACCAGTAAAAAATAATTTAAATAAGCTTTGACAGTGGCGCACAGCATTGGTAAGTACTCCATCCCTTTTTAATTTTGCGCCACTCTCCAAAAACTTATTTGGACTATAATTTTGAATTTTTTGATTTTTTTTTTTTTAATAAACCATTTATACTTGTTGGAAATTTATAACAAAATCCAAATTTAAAAAATTAAAAATAAATTAAAATGGTGAATATCCAACTTTGAATTTCCAATAAGAATACATGAATTTAAATTTAATAAATATCAAAAAATATAAAAATATAGTTCAAATAAGTTTTTGGACGGTGGCATAAAATTTAATGGGTATGAAGGTGTTACTTATCTATGTCGTATGCCACTGTGTTACGGGTTGAAAGTAATTTAAATTTAAAAGTACATTTAAGTAATGTTTGTTATGATTTTGTGCAATTTTAACTAACTATTCAATTTAATTTTAAAAGAGAAAATCTTCTGGTACTTGCCTTAATAAATAAAACTAATTAAACTTAATTTCAACATTTATTTAATTTTTGTTATTATTACCATAACCTAGTCTCTGTACAATAATGCAGTCTTTCGAGATTCTTCTTCATTTTCGTATCTTCTTTTTCCTTCAGGCCTCGTCCTAAAGTAAAGGTTAATATCTACTTTCCTATTGGTCATGAATTACTCCATTTTGTCGTAAGATTAACTGTCTCTTTTCACTACCTCTTTCTTTTTTTTTTGGCTACTGAATTGGAACATGTGCTTCCCTATTTCTCGGAATTTTCGGATTAAATTAGCCCTAAAAGAAAGATTACTTCATTAGTTTTGAAAAAAAGTAATAAGTAGAGTTGCTAATACACTTGGTGGATAAAATATACTTTTTTTTTTCTAAAACTAATCTACTTCTAAGCCACTCACCACGCATGGTAAGTTTCCTCAACCAAAATTCATGATCATTAATAAAGGAAGTAAATAATTATAATCTATTGTTTTAGGCTTTTCTGTACAGGTAGTACTTATTCTTATGGTAACCTGTGAATTTATTTGGAGTATTTTACTGCTTAGTAGTTTCTTGCTTTGCTTCTTAGCTCCCTGCATGGCTTCTGACCTTTCTGCTTAGATTTATAGCCAAATAGCTTGCCTCCCAATATACCTGCGAAGCTTGGGATTGTTAGAAAATACCTGGAACCACTTTAATAGGAAGACAAAAATTGGTAATAAAGAATAATACTTCCAGAGACGCTACTGGACTCAATCATAATAAAAGTAAGAACTTTCCATTGTTTAAATTATTGTTGCCAAGGGGACACATATTTTGAAACATATGCTGAGTCAGGAAATAGAAAATATATGAAAGAAAAACGTCACAATATTATATTGTTTTAAATAAAATTTTACTTACCCTATGTAAACGATTAGTACTAATCGGGCTTCAAAAATCAAGTTGTACAATTCATTATTTAGCCTTTATCTTCTTTGGATCCTGGCGATATATATAAACAAATTATATTACTTTTATATTTACCTAAAAATACAACATTCTACCAATATTTGTCGAATATTATGAACCCACTAGTCCTCGTTTTCTCCTAGAGGAATGGTAGTAACAACTGGTAAAATTTATTTAACTGATGTTTTGCTGAAAGGTGTATAAAATTATAGCCATTACTAATTTTTAAATTTTTAACTGTAACACCCTGTATTTCGGTTATTATCAACTCCTGGTTGAATAACATTTTTTGCCAAAGAATCTGCAGTTTTGCTGGGTACCATTAAATAGCGGACACCCTGTATATAATATAACACATTATATAAGTTTTATGGAAAATACTTAATAGTGGATTAGATATATATGAAAATATTAATTCTACACTCCTTACCCAAACAGCTCACCCTGTAGAGCTACAAACTTGTAGTCCATAGAAAAGATACTTTTAATGACCTAAACAATGACATTCCTAAATTTAAAGAAATTCTGACAGTACCCAAAATCAATGTAAAAATTTATCATCTAATGATGAATTGGCGACATTAAAATAGTGAGATTTTGGAAAAAAATTAGTTTTAAAAATGTGTTTTTATTTGATGGATTTGTTTTCAACTCATTTCATGACCATCTATATTAAAAGAAAAAAATTGAACAACACTATTGTAGATTGCCATTAATGTCATTTCCAGTAACACTGGAAATGGAAAAGTTTGTTTTAAGTATGAGTGCATATTAGAAATTATTTCTGTATTGATTTTTGTCCCAAATTTGATCCAAATCATTTCATAAATTAAGGAAATATTAATATAGCCCTATTGTCATTGTCACACTGTTATTTGCTGTCAAATGAGGCTAATATTTAATAGATATAATTATTCCTACTATTATTACCATAACATTTCTGTAAAATATTTTATTTAGTATTTTATTCAATATTTTTGTTTTATTTACAGGATAACCCTAGACTTCACAACTCAGAAATATCGAAGCTCTTGGGCGTAGAATGGAAACTTCTTTCGGAATCCGAAAAAAGACCGTTTATAGACGAAGCAAAACGAATTAGAACCCAACACATGCTAGAACATCCTGATTACAAATACAGACCTAGAAGAAAACCTAAAGAACTTGTGAAAAATTTTGTCTCAAATTATGCCGAACAAAATATTTTAAATAGGAATATTTATGGACAAAATGGTAAGTTTTTTTATTTTTTTTTTTTTTTATTTTAAGAATGCATGTCATAATATGAATATTTAAATTCTCAGAAATGGAAGTTTTTTAAACTAAGTAATAGATTTGAGAAAAAGACTTCATTTTGTTTAGTTGGAATTTAAAATATATCTACTAAAAAATTTATAATATATTATTTCGTGGAAATAAAATTGATATATACAGGGTGACCCAAATTGTTTTACCCATAAGGTGTAAAATTTTGAAATCGCTCCATAAATAAGTAAAATCCGTTTTTTTTTTTTTTTTTCATTTTCATCAAGTTGCTTGCTGTCAAATTCATGGTAAGTTTTCTAGCTCATTATAAACAATACTATATCAATCTGTCTCTTGTAAAATAGAAAGTGCAGCTTCAATACTCGATAAAATTAGCAGTTTTTACTTGATAAAGTTTACAATAATTTAGAGTTTGTCAAGTCCTAACAAATTATTTCAAAATGTCTACTGTCTTTAGTTCCAACGAGTACACCGATATGATAATTATTTACGGCGAATGTCGCAAGAATTGCAGACAAGCAATACAATTATAATATGAACGTTTTCCGAATAGAACAATTCTCTCAGTTAGAACGTTTTCCAATTTAGAAAAAAGTCTTAGATAAGGACATTTTCCTGACGGTAAACATAATGGAGGACACAACAGAATGATCAGAAATGAAGAAAATATTATTTGTTGGAAGGTGTTCATCTTAATCAAAGACGTGATATGTGGTGGCAGCAAGATGGTGCACCAGCTCATAATGCACAAATTGTGAGCCAATATTTGGCAAACACTTATGGAAACCGTGTTATATCCACGCATTCTCCAATTATCCAGTGACCGGCTAGGTCACTTGATTTGTCTCCTCTAGATTTTTTCTGGGATAATATAAAGGACGTAGTATACAAAACAAAACCAGAGCACTTAGAAGATTTAAAAAATAGAATCAGACATGCTTGTAACAGATTTACACCTGAACTAAAAATGTATTGTTAAGGTTTGACAAATGTGTGGAAGTGGGAGGTGGGCAATTTGAGCACTTATTACTACTCTTTGTTTGTTGATATTTATTTCTTGTCTTCTCCTTCTCTTGTTTCAATGTATTTTTTTAATTATTTGTCACCTAATAAAGTATTTTTTATCATCAAGTTGACATACAGTTTTATATTTAATTTCTCACTTATTTATAGAGCGATTACAAAATATTAAAAACAGTTGTACAGTGAAACGTAGTGACTACAAAAATGTAGTTAGGCTGTAGTTAATAATTTTTGAGGGGGTTGTTCCAGGGGGAGGCGTCAAATTTTTATTTGTTTCAAAGTACACCGCCAATTATATAATGGATGACTTTTGTCCGGTTCGATTATCTTGTATGGTTTAGAAGTTATAGCCTAGGTAAAAAATTTGGGACACCCTGTATATATGGAATAATTTTCCTACATGTCACAAAAGAAAAACTAAACAAATAAAAAACATTATTGTTATTAATAGAAAATCAAATTATACTTTTTATACTTTTAAATTATAATTATTCAATTATAATTTATAAAATAAAATAGCCTATTTTAAATAGGAATATTACATTGAGAGTTTTACATTCAGGACCTTTCACGCAGATCACGACAGCTCACAGGATGGTTCTACGTAAAATCTCTAAAGTTAGATATACATCCAATTATTGAATCAGTTTTTGGAATTTTATCAAAATGACTTTTTTAGTAGGGTTTCTTTGTAGCTCTTAACCAATATATTTACTTATATTGTATCTTAATTACTTAAAGTGCAGGATTGTTATTCTCGGGTGCAGGTGTCAAATTAAATTTGTTTAAATATTTGCGTTGATAGTATTTTTTTCCAAATCAAAGAATTCAGTTTTTGCTATATCAAAATTGATCTAGTTTCAAAATTAGATATCCTACGAGTTCCCTTTGCCGGATCTGATGTTCAATTATAATTAATTCTAATCCACTGTGAATCCATCATTATATTAATTTAAATATTAATACAGACTACAAAAATAATTACTAAAATATATTTTTGGACTATAAAATCTTTTGTTAGACATTAGTAGGTATAGTACGAGTAAGATATATAGTGTAAAAAAGCTTTAAAGCCCGTAACATACAAAAAAAAACTAAGGAGACTGATACATCAACGTTAAATTAGTAGAGGAGCATTCAAGATATTGAGTATACTTATATAATTTTTACTTCTCACGATAAAAGGGAAGTATTGTAATCGTGAAAATTTAGATTTTCACGTTTTCGGGTCCCTAGATTACGAAAAACATGTTTTCCTTATTCCGTCGGTTTGTCCGCCGTCTGTTGTCTGACATCTGTCTGTTGGCGCGGTAGCTCAAAAACGGTTTAAGAGTAAAACTTCTAATTTTGTATGCAGGTAAGGCTTCCTCTTGGCTCAAAACCGGTTATATTTCCGGTCAGATCTATACAGGGTGAGCAATTAAAAAACGTAGATTTTTAAAAGTCAACAGATTTCGACTAAAATTGTTATCTGATCAAAGATAACAGATCATGAATTACTTTTTAAAAATTCAATTTGTAATATTGACGATTAATTTAAATTTTTTAATCTAGAACCGAGCGGCTGGCGAGACAAATACAAGATACCGTATTGATGTAGAATTGACCAGTCTAATAAGTAAAAATATCAACATGGAAAAATGTCAGTGGCCTACCTTTTTTTTGGTTTCTGATAAAATTGTTATCTGATCAAAGATAAAAGATCATAAATTACTTTTTAAAAATTGAAAATGGCTTCCTTGTTTTTACAATTTATACAGGGTGTTTTTTAATTGTATGCTAATATTGTAGTATGTGATTCCTCAGGTCATTTTATGAAGAAAAATTCATATGAACATATATTCACAACGGCTTTAATTTTTTGCTACAGGCAGTCGAAAATTTGTTTCTTAAGGAGATATTTTTTAATATCTCTAAAAATAGATTAGACATAATTTTCAATTTTGGCATGTAATAATAGGATATAAAACCACATATTTTAATTAGTAAATTTCTTTTATTGCTCTACCAGTGGCATCTCTGCAAACATGTCATCTGATATTTTCTACAAAAAAATTAGTACGCCACTGACATTTTTCTATGTTAATATTTTTACTCATTGGACTGGTCAATTCTACATTAATACGGCATCTTGTATTTTTCTCGCCAGCCACTTGGTTCTAGATTAAAATAATTAAAAATATTCGTCAATACTACAAATTGAATTTTTAAAAAGTGATTCATGATCTGTTATCTTTGATCAGATAACAATTTTATCAGAAATCAATTTTAGTCGTAATCTGCTGACTTTTAAAAATAAATGTTTTTTTAATTGTTCACCCTGTATATATCTGACCGGAAGTATAACCAGTTTTGAGCCAAGAGGAAGCCTTACCTGTATACAAAAGCCGTTTTTGAGCTACCGCGCCAACAGGCAGACGGCAGACAACAGACGGCGGAAGGCAGACAGACCGATAGAATGGGGAAAACATGTTTTTCGTAATATAGGAAACCGAAAAAGTAAGAATCTAAATTTTCCTTTTATCGAGGGAAGTAAAAATAAAATAAGTATACTCATTCTCTTGAATGCTCTTCTACTATATTTAATATATCAGTATCCTTAGTTTTTTTGTATAAAGCCGGCTGGCTTTAAAGTCACACTATATCTCTTGTTCGTACTATACCTCTTTTTTAAGTCGACATAAAATATTTTCAGAAAACTGCACAATGCTCTACAACACAACAGAATCAAAACTAAATTTGGCACACCAACCGTATGCGTTATCATTAAGCCTACCAACACCAGAAAGAATACCATTGACTTATCCAGATTCTGTTAAATCCGAGCAGAGATTACTGCAAGACGAATATTCATCGGTTATGGATATTAACAGCCATCACCAAAGAGAATTTGGACCATCATTACCTTCTCTGCCACCTTATAATTCTTTACAGGGTAGTATTCACCATAATTCGTTACTTAGGGCAGCATCAATATATGCTTATCATGATTTAGCTTCTAGTAATAATTTGCCTTTGTATTTTCCACATATTTGACAGCGTTTGATAATAAAATTAATAAATTGTTTTTAAAATGTGTCGCTTATTAGTAAAACCTAATATCCTTTCCCAAATAGTAAAAGTGTTCTAAATAATTTAGTATACAGTGTGTCGCATAAAAAATGGTCTTGTAAATAGGACAAAATGTATAAAGAATTTAAATTATAATCTATAACTACATAGATTTCGAATGAAAAAAAATATAAGTTATTATATATTTAGAAAAATTCAAAAGTGTCATTTCCATTTTTGATTTAATCGAATTCATAACTCTTGCTGTTTCCTAAATACACATGCAGTGTTAATTTTAAATAGCAAATTATATACCAGATGTTTCATTTGTGTTTGGCCAACTAATAACTAAGTTTTAAAAAATTTGGTGTATGTGGGATCAAATAAACCATCCTCCTAGAAACCACCCCTTATCACACCATTGGATTTATTTCATCACATCAACAAATTTGCATTATATGTTCAAAAAAATTATACGGCTCATAAAATATTTATCAAAATTTAGTTTAATTAATTAAAACACATATTAGTAAAATTATCTAATGATATATGTAAGAACGAAAATGATATATCACTAGAATGAGGATGAAAGACACTTGTCCAATTACAAAAAACTTGATATTTTTAAATTACAGTAATGGGACATTTGATTTTAAGTTGTAACTCAAGCGATGACCGAATAAAAATGTTTAGTATTCATTTAAATTTAAGTTGTTTATTCTGTTTTCACTATTATAATAATTAATGTAGAAAGTACCTTTTAAAAAACCGTTTTAAGGGTTTCGGAAGAATCAGACTTGCAGACAATAGCACTATACATCATTATAGAAGAATAGTGATGTCCTAGGGCATTTATAAACTCAAGCTATGTTATGAGCAACCTTTATTTATTTAGTTACACTGTTTTACAGGCGAACTCAATTACAAAACATATTAAAAAGTTACATTTTATATAAAGTTAACAGGTCAACAAATGAAATATTAGTAAAAATAAAAATGTACATGAGGCAAAATATACCACAACAAAGAATACAATATTAATGATATGAAATAAATACATACACCCTAGCTTCTAAAATTATAATAACATGATTTAAAGCCATACACAGGACAGCAAAATGTATCTAATGACCTTCCTAACGAATTACATTGATTACACATAAAATACATAGGCGAGAATTTAAGAATAATTGTAAATGGTACAGGGATGTAAAATGTCAATTCAGTACAAATTCTAGGTACATAAAAATTTAATCTTTGAATAAGATCAGAGCAGTCAAATCTGTTACTAATTAATTTGTACAGGAATATAAGAGAATTGCAATTTCTTCTAGTACTCAGACTGGACATATTACAGTAGACTCTCAATTATCCGACTCTCTATTTTCCGATTGCTGGATTATCCGAGTTGAGTAATACTGCCGTTAAAATCCGTATTAATCGTGCGATGCCGTGTTATTCGAGCATCAGGCCTAACAGATCGGGTAATTACGGGGAATCCCAGAATGGGTACAGGGGAATCCCTCATTATATTTCTATCTGTAGAACAGTGTTTGTACGTTTTTATAAGTTACAAAGTTACATAGGTACATACATATTTAATTACAGTGAATCACAGTCTTAAGATGGAAAAAAAATAAAAGAAAAAGAGTTGTTATAACAATCGAGGAGAAGTTAAAAGCAATAAAAAGGTTGGATGCAGGTGAGGCCGTGGGAGTAATATCCAGAGAGTATGGAGTAGGCAAGGTTACAATGGGTGATTGCAAACGAAATCGGAAGGCTATTGAACAGTGGTGCAAAAGGCAAGTGTCTACTATTTTTAAGAGAAAATCAATGAAGCGAGCAGAATATAACAAAATAAACAAATTGTTGTTTAGTGCAAAGAGAAGAAGGTGTTCCGGTTTCCGGACAAATTTTACATAATAATAAGCAGAGAATTTCCCGATTTTAACTATTTTACGGCCAGTGATAGTTGACTTGCCCGTTGCAAGAAAAGATACGGTGTGCACCAGTTAGCCTTATGTGGAGAAAAACTTTCTGCAGATACAAATCTGCTGCACATTTTAAGCAAACTTTTAAAGTTCTAAACGAAAGTCAGGGTTACACATTTGATCAAATTTATAATTACGAAGAAACTAGCCTAAACTAAAAATAGCTTTCGTCATTAACATCGAGAGAGGAAAAGGCAACATCAGGGTGTAAATGCCGTAAAGAAAGGCTTACTGTAATGGCATGTGCGAAAGCATGAGGTACACATAAGTTGCCATTATGGTTACAGGAAAATCAGCCCGTTCTAGAGCCATAAAAACATTTCTCCAAATACCCTTCCAGTTTATTACACAAACCAAAAAAGTTCCTAGATGAATACAAAGTTATTTAGTGCATGGTTAAAAGAGCAGTTTGTTCCATTAGTGATGAATTTTTTGGACACAAATAAACGCCCCAGAAAGGCAATGTTACTTATGGATAATGCTCCGCTACATCCTGGAGAAAATCTTCGGGTAGGGGATATTACTGTTGTTTTTACCGCTCAACATCACCAACTTCATCGCTCAACTTCTTCAACCCATGGATCAAGGTATCCTAGAAAATTTAAAGAAAAAGTACAGACGTTTGTTTCTTGAACATGTGTTACATACGACAGAAAATAATGAACTTACCGCGACTCTGCAGCCGATTACCTTAAAAGATATTATCTGCTGGGTGAGTCAAGCTTGGAACTCTGTACAAGCATCCACAATACAAAAATCCTGGCGCAATATCTTGATCCAGAATGATGACACAGAAGACGATGGCCTTGTTTGGTTTAATAAAGCAAATAAAGGGATGTGAAGATGTTACAGAACAAGATGTTGACCAATGAATTTGTTCTAATGACCATGAGCAAAAGCTTTCTATAGAAGAAATAGTTGCATCTAAAAAAACTGAAGAGGAAGACTTGCTTGAAAACGAAGATGAAGAGCAGAAGTTTGTTGGTGAAGACATTTCTAATGAAAATGGTTTTATTGCTTTAGAAATAGCCTTGTAGTATGTGGAACAGCAACCTGAGTCCACGCCATCAGATGTTCTGCTTTTAAAAAGATTGAGAGATATTGCAGCAAGAAAGATAAACTATCAAAAAAAGCAAACTCTTATTAATAAATATCTTAATGTAGTGGAAAAATATTTTTTTTATTATTGTATTGCTGTACATATTATTTTTTTTATTTTATTACATACATTTACATAAGTATGTACATACATAATATATGTATTTGGTTTTGTATTTTATTTTAGTTGTTCCTTTGTTTGTAAAAATTATTAATAAAATATTTTAAAATAGGCATTTATTCTTAGAGTACTCACGGAAAAAAAATTGTAGAACAAATTTCTACAATTGTACATTTTTTCTCTACAATAAATAGTACATATAGGGACAGGGGAAATTTGTAGTAAAAATTTCCAAATATTTGTAGAGAATGTATTGTAGAGTTATTATCTACAATATTTAGTAAAAATATCCAAATGCATCATAAGTATTGTTCTACAAATTGTTATAATTTATTCATTGTATGAATTTATATTAAAAATGTATTGCGTTTTATGGAAATAAATACGAAAATTTTACACAATAAATAGTAAAAATTCATACAAATTGTAGTAATTTTTAATAAAATTCGTAGTAGTATTTTATAATTATTATAATTATAACCTAGAAAAAATGTTCCTTAATAAAATATTCAATTTATTGTTTTAATATAAAAGATACAAAGTCTTAATTACATTATGTAATAAATATCAGTAATAATAGCGCCCTCAGTCTCAGTTGGCTTTTCTGCACCTGAAAAATATGAAATAAAAATTAATATGTTCATACCCTTAAAACGGGGATATTTATCACCTTTACACTGATTTGGATATTAAATGACTAAGTCAGATAACTAACAAAAATGAGAAAGTAGGTATGTCACAATTAAGACAAAAAACATCATTGAACTTGGAACAACATTCGATCGTTGGGCACAACATTCGATCGTTGACCACAACTATTTTTTTTTAAATAATCTACTAAGGTTATTTAAATTAGTTATCTAAAGGTAAATTATTCAGAAACAATAATAAATGTACTTACCACTAATAGTTATTATTAAAATTTTCTCAAACGCATCGGTGCTTATACTATAATAATGTGTTATAGGTACTCGTATATGTACCAATGTTACATTGTACCATGCTTTGTTTTGTGAACATGGCGAACGGCTACTGCTGTCTGGCCATTTATGATCGACATCAGAAAACATTGGCTAATAGCAGAATTCTGTTTTATTCACATGACTTAGAATTTCTACAATATTATAGAATATTTTTGAACAAAATTGAATTTTTTTCATGAGAAGGGATGTAAAGTATTACTATTTTTTGTAGAGAAAATTACTATTTTTTGTAGAGATAATTATTAATTTTTGTACAAATTTTTACAGAAGTTAGTAGTAGTAATTACGATGATTGTAATAAATTTCTACTTCTACAAACAATAGTAAAATATACTAAACATTGTGGACTTCTTTCCTATTGTTGTAGCATTTTATTCGACAATTCAATTACTACAATAATGAATAGTTTTTAACTATAAATTGTAGTAAAATTTTCTACAAAAAGTTAAGTATTTTTCTACAAGTCTACCACTACAACATTGTAGTAAAATTTTCTAGTCACATTTTTTCCGTGTTAATAAAATATGAATAAAAAAATCGGATTATCCGAGCCGCCAATTATCCGATCTTGGCTACAGTCCATATTAGCTCGGATAATCGGGAGTCTACTGTATGCCTGGATAAAAGCACATCCTGCACAGTGCCAATAATAGGGTATCTGTTATCCAATTTAAAACTCGGAAACTTTAAAAAATCGTCGCTGAACAGATTCAGACTTGTTCGTATTTTTAGCGTAGTATGAACTCCAGATAATTGCTGCGTATTCTAAATTGGAGCGAATAAATGCGCGAT